AATGAAATCAAAGACTTTTTCTCCTCCCTTCCCTCCCTCTGTTCCTTCGCTCCGCTGCAACAAGCGCAAACTCCATCAGCTTTGAACTTGCGTGTGTGAAATGAGCTCCCTTTGCTCTGATTGTCAACCCATCCCCGTGCCCTTTCTCTTGTTCATTGCTCCCCGTCCCTCTCTTTTTATTTTCTCACCTCCCAAGTTCACTTCAGATTGATGCTTTTTGTTTGTTTTACTGCCAGAAAAACATTATTGCAGACAGAATTCACTTTCAGGGGATGAGTTATTTTCTCAATTACTTTTTTCCGCAAAGTCATGAAATCCTGCGTCAATAAAATATCAGTGTAGAACAAATATATCGGCCTGGAACCGGTTGAATGGATTGCATGTTAAAGATTAAAGTATCTTACTAACAGCATGAAATCAGAGAGGAGATTGCATGATCCATATTTTCTAATCTGGGTCAGAGCTGCAGAGAGCCCAGCAGCCTAGATTCTGCTAACGTCTCGGTCTCACCTGGGAGATGGCGAGGTTCTTCCAGGCCAGTAGGGAAAGTTGTTGGCAGCATAACACAATTACATTTAAGAGATAAATCAACAGCCTCTGTGGGAAATTCGTATTTCTTTTTGCCTCCCGTGTTCCTGGAAACGTTAGAAGAAATCTGGGTTTGCTGTTTAAAGTCGGATGTCGTGTGAGTTTTCCGATGTTCCAGTGTGTGCCGTAAGAGAGAAGCATCCATCCACTGGAGTTAGAAACTCTGAGCACACTCTTCATCCATTTAGGAAAGAGTGAAGCATGCTTGCTGCAGCGTGCAAGCAATACAAGATTCGTGTTTTCATATTTGGCAGTTTACGGATGAATTGGGTGATTGTGCTAATTATTTTTAAGCTGCTGATTCTGGGTTAAAGAATAAAAATTAGACTAATTATTTGAGAATGACCCCATATATATTATTTTTCTCCTGTTTATTTGAGGGTACGTTTTGAAAGCATGAGAAAAACTTTAGAATATTCAAACCGATCAGCAACTGTCATGAAAAGTGAAGTCTCAACAAAACGAGCTGAGGCGTGGATGTAAGACATTTTAAGTTGTAGTGGGAATTTAAGGTGTTTTACAATTAATTAATAAGAAAAAATAATGCGTCAAAAATGTACCTGTTTGAGCCCGAGTGCCCATCAACTGGGGACCAGAAAAGTTTAACGTCACAATTTATGCCTTATCTATGAATAAATATCATCAAGCTGCACTAACAAAACTGCAGAGCGTGGGCTACAAGACCATATAAACCTTTTTTACGTGCTCCAAGCACAACTAATACTATGATTAAATGAATAATAACAAACTGTGCTCCATGTAGGGTTGTCACGGTGTGAAAATGTAACCTCACGGTTATTGTGACCAAAATTATCACAGTTTTAGGTATTATCGTGGTATTTTTTTTAAACGTGTTACATTTTCAGACAATTAAATAAACCCTGTATATCAGGAAAATATTGTCCTCAGTTTGTGTCTAAATTTTGCCTAAAATGTGTTATTTTGTAATTATGTTGTTTATTTGTTTACATTTTTCCCCTTTAGTCTTTAAAATACCAATATTTGCCCATAACTTCTCATTTTATGTCTGTTTGATGTCATCATTTTAAAAATATTAGATCAGATGATACTCAGTACTCAAGTAGCCTTCTAATCAGATACTTTTTTTACCTTTACTTGAGTAATAAACCCTATATCAGGAAAATATTGTCCTCGGTTTGTGTCCTTCCAGTGAGCTTTGCAGATGTGGGAAAATGTCATCAGGCAGTAATCATTGTTAAATTCATAATTATTCTCGGAGAGAGACCAACTCTTATCTGCCCCTGGGAGCCCCGTAATGCATAGCGTCATTTCAACATGGGGTTGTCCGCGACACGGTTTATATGCAGGTAGCGGCGCTGCGGCTGCTTTATATAGCGACTCGTTGCATTCTTCCTCAACCCAAATCCTCAGATCACGCATTTTAGCTAAAACACTAATGTTAGCTTGACTGTAGAGTTGTGGGTGATGGTCACGCAGATGTGTCATGAGATTTGAAGCATTGCTGCCTTTCACAGACACTTTTTCTGCACGTGCTGCAAACAGGATAGCCGTCTTCTATCAAACGTCCCTCTGCATTCTTCAAATATCCAAAACATGCCCGTACTTCCCACTTTGTCTTCTTTGAGGGATAATAAATGTCCTGAGCGCTGCCGTCTCCTCCTTTGACCATTATTTCAGCTTTAGCTTCAAGAAAGTTTTGGTTGTAAACAACAAAGTGCGCATGTGCCGCCGGCAACTTCAGCAGATGATACGGTGGCTGGTAAGGGTCACCGCGCCTACACCGCAGCCACGGTAACCCACCGAGATAATTTTTTTTAAACAAGACTGTTATTATTATTGTCAACTTTTTTACAGGGGTTTACTGCTACACTGGTTACCGTGACAACCCTAGCTCCATGAAGATAAGAAAAGGGGGGGCAGATTAACTTTTTTATTATGTTTTCTAGTTGGTAGAAAACAGGCAGGCAGTAACTTTATCCATATGAACTTTATTGCAGCTGGAGGATCAAGCATCTTGTAACCGTCAGCAGAACTTCCCCTGAACTCTATGCTACACCTATATATATATATATATATATATATATATATATATATATATATATATATATATATCTCAGCAGTGCTCTGCCGCCACTTCGTGTTCCGTTCAGTAGGCTTACAACGTTTCATGTCTATTTACACTTAATCCATAACACATGTACTAATATTTACACATTCCAACAAATACCACACTGGTTACCTTTATAATGAGACCAAAGTAATCAACTAGACCTTGTGGTTACAGAAATGTACTCATAAAAGTGTGGGTGTGTCATCTGTTCCTTAATGATTGAAAAAAAATTGTTTGGGCGCAAATTGTCTTAAGCAATTAAAATGTGATTAATCAACATTAATTAATGACAAAAGCCTCTAATTAATTAGATTTTTTTTTATTTAGTCCCACCCCTAATTTTAAGATATTGTGCTTTCTGGCACTTATTTGTACAGCTGTGCAGTTCAGATGCTTGCTAACAGCATGGTCTCATCAGCTGATCCCATGGCAACAACTTGATCATCTAGACATGGTGAAGATGACTTGGAGTGGCTTTGAATGTGGCATGGTTGACGCGCTTAACTGGGGACTTGAGTATCAGGAAACTCCAGAGTAGGACAGAGTCCAGCCCCTTTCAAGGACTTGGGAGCCTAAGCTGTACGTAGAGTCCAAACATATCTAATTGGTATCGCTCCGCTTCACATGGAGAGGAAACCAGAGAGAAAACGTTCCTTATCCCATTGACTTCCCCCAACCTGCATTGCACCCAACCTCACTTCTTCTCCCTGCTGGTATTGGGTCCACAAGGAGGGTGAAAGAAAAGGTCTTGTTGTCAGAAGTCAAAGGGGAACAGTAGCTCAAATAACCCCTAATGGCACCAAGGTCCGCAGAACTGCATCTCTGAACACAAATGTTGAACCTAGATGGGCTCCAGCAGCACAAGACCACACCCGGCGCCACTCCTGTCAGCTAAAAACGCGAGGCTACAGCTCTCACACGGGATCACCAGAACTAGAGATTCAAAAACCGGGGCAGTCTGAATTTAAACTGCAATATTTAAATGCTCAGGTCAGAGCTTGTGGTAAACATGAAAACATGGATCCATCCTGCCTTTAAACTAACAGTTCAGGCTACCTGAGTACTGTTGCTGACCATTTCCAACCCTTTAGGACCACAGGGCAATGCACCATGGCACAAATCTCAAACCATCTGAAACAGAGTTCTGAGATGTCCTGGCCCCCAACAACCTCCAACGTCACCAGATCTTAACCCAGTCCAGCTCTATTTAGATGTGTTGGAACGAGAGATTTACATCACGGATGTGCAATCGACACATCCGATACATCATACTAACAAGTGAATTTCCCTACTGTGGGATCAATAAGGTCTATTCTATTCTATTCCAATGTGGACCAGAACCTCTGGGGAATATTTCAAACTTCTTGTTGAATCAACGACTTGAAGAATTGAGGCAGTTCTGAAGGCAAAACGGGACCTAACCCAGCAGTATCAACGTGTACCAGAGATCCTGAGGTGAAAAAAATTAGGATCAAGGAAATGTAATGGCCAAATCAATATCTTTGTTTCTTTTTTATATTTGGGGTCAGGGATATTGATTGGCTTTTGTTATTTCATTAGTGAGTGCTTTTACCATGGAGGGCTGTGTGTGTTTAAGTGGTTGCAGCATTTCAGCAGTCATAGTCATAGTGAGCCAAAAGTGTTAACTCGTTTTCCAAACTCAAGGCTTTTCAAATCTGGCATTAATGGGGTGTGCTGGAAAAAGCCCAAATCATGGCGGCCCCACCTGCTGCGTAAAACCTCGGTTAGCATCTTTTCTGTCGGACTACGGCGCGCCCGTGCCCTAAAAGGTCCGAGGATCTCTGTACGGTACAAGCAAGTGTAAATGTCATGTCCTCACGACTGTTTTCATTCATGTGGGTGGTTTTAATGTTGTGGCTGATTGGTGCACTAAAATATAACGAGGTATTCTAATAAACTTTATGGGTAAAAAAAAAACTGTTCAAAGTAAAGCCCTTTTAATTCTCGGGTACTTAGGTTATCTGATCCGGTCCGATCACTTCAGAGTTTAATGATTAAGTGTGTGTGTGTGTGTGTGTGTGTGTGTGGCTTTTAACTCCAGATCATAATTTTTCTTTTCTAATAGTCCAATAAATTTCAGTTTTCAGTCTTCCCCTGGAAAGGTGAGGTGTCCTGAGAGTGTTTAAACATAAATCTATAAGCCATTACCTTTTGCTGCCAGTTGAACCTGCAGAATTGTCCACTGCAGCATAAAACATTAATCATCTTTTCCTTGCAGATCACAATGCCTGAGAATACATTTTTAATCTCAACGTGCCCACCTCTTTGTATTTTTATTTGTTTTTTACTCTTTCGGTAGGGCGAAGGCCTGCAGCTGGAGTACGAGATGAAGCTGACCAATGGCCAGTCGTTTTGGACGCAGCATTTCTCTGCAGATGAGTTTGGTAAGACCGATTAGGCCGAATGAGAAGGATTATGGAACGAATCGCCGATGGCACAAGCTAACACCACTTAGCATGGCCAATAAAGCACAGTGCACGGAACAAATTGCAATAATGAAGGGATGGCTGAACGAATTAATGATGATGGATGAACTGGGAGGGTGAGGTGAGAAGAAGATGCTCATGTGTCTTCTAAATGAATTATTCCAATGTTATCAATGCCTCCCGTCATAACTCATGATCTGCTTCTGTAACCTATCTGTGAAACAACTAATTGGTTTCTTTCGTTTTATTTTAAAATCAAATATTCTTATTCCAACTTTTGCTCGCAGGGATTTTGGAGACGGACATCACGTTCCTGGTCATCTTCTCCTTGGTGTTTCTCCTCTCCTGCTACTTCGCTTGTAAGTACCACCTTTTCCACTTAGTCAAGCCACGTTCTTCCCCTCGAGACATTTTACTCTGACTTTTAAAGCTCAGTGATCATTAAATGGACTTTTTATGACTTCTATAATAAAATCTGCATGTTTTCCTGATGGAATAGGAGTGTATTCGTGTGTTTTTAAGATAAGCGAAGATGAAACGTGCTCAGATTTACTCCTGGAGCTGAGACTTTGTCACGATAGCGTGCACGTGGCACAAAGATGAAGAAAGGGAGTTTTTTCACAGAAAGTGGAAAAGATAAGACGGCTTTAGGTTTACTGAAGTGAGTTGGTCATGAAAATCAAAGGTAAAATAACCCTGAAGCAATTGAGAAAGGCAGCTTCAAGGAGAAAAATGTGCACCTCCAGGCTGTCTTCATTTACATTTGTTCCGGTGAGGACATTTATCTTGATTTGTTGAAACCAGCGGAGTGAGTCGATTGAATTAGAACAAAATGGCATTTAACTCTATTGCAGAAGTTCTCTACCTTTTCTGCTCATGAACTGCACGCAATAAACACTTAGAGTGGAAGTGTTTCAGGAGCAGTCCATATCGGATTAGATTTGTGCCAGTAGGATCAAGAAAAACACTTTGAAGATCAAACAAATATTAAGACATTCAGAGAAAAAAAAATTGTTTCAAAAGAAAAACTTACTATCTGAATCAACTTCTTAAAATGAGTAACAAAGTGTGTTTCCTTTTTCAGTTTGCCTCTATGTGTTTTTGTTATCAATTTCCTTAGTTAGATAGTAAGTTTTACTTTTGAAACATGTTTTTTTTCCTTAAGTCAGTATTTTTGTTCTGTCATTTTCTTAATTTTTGTTTGACCATCAAAGTGTTTTTTCTTGATCATTTTAAGAATCTGATTCAGATCGTAAGTTTTTCTTTTGAAACGAATGTTTTTTCTCACAATGTCTTAAAATTTGTTTGCTCTCCAAAGTGTTTTTTCTTGATCCTATTGGCACAAATCTAATCCCATACGTCCGAGTCAGGTTTAGTTTCTGAAGACCAGTTCTAAAACATCAGAGTGCAACAAGAAAACGAGCAAATAAACTTGCAGGAGAAGGAAAAGTTCAGGCATTAATCATCTTTCGACTGTCTATAAACAAACAAGGAGCCCATCGTCGCTGCCTGATCTGAGGATTTCCACAATTAAATACAGTTTTCTAAAGCATTTTAAGTTTTACCACCATGTATGAAGCTGAAGCTGTTTAGTTTTGTCTGAAGTCACCAGAGTTAAATGGAAGGATTTCAAAGCCCTCTTCTGGGACGTCAGTCAGCCGATTCGTCCATGATGAAGATGACGCAGTCACAGGACATTGGTTCCAGCAGGTGGCTTGTAAATTTTGGGTGCAGATAGTGAGTTTATTTATTTATTTTTATAATTTCACAATCTAGGTTTTAAATGACCTGCATGTTTAATTTCTAGTAAACGGACAAGAGACGGGACTAGAAATGAGACTTTTTACACGTTTTATAATGCGTCTCCTCGGGGAAAAACGAAGCTCCAGCTTTAAGTTTAGACTCACACGTCAAAACCATCTCCCGCTCTTGTTTCTTTCAACTGAGAAACATTTCAAAAGTCCGTAAACTGGTTTCTACTGCAGATCTGGAAAAAATCATCCATGCCTTTGTGTCATCACGCTTAGACTACTGTAACGCTCTTTTTACTGGTCTCAGCAAAACCTCCCTCTCACGCCTTCAAGCCATCCAAAATGCAGCAGCCAGACTCCTAACCAAATCCAGCAGACGAGCTCACATCACTCCAGTTTTACAGTCCTTCCACTGGCTCCCGGTAGAATATAGAATACAGTTTAAAGTTTTAGTCCTGACCTATAGAGCTCTTAACAACCAGGCTCCAAGCTACCTGTCTGAGCTTTTATCCCCACACACCACCTCTCGGAACCTTAGATCCACATCTGAAAACCTCCTGGCTGTTCCTCGAACCAGACTGAAAACCAAAGGGGACAAGGCCTTTCAGACTATTGCACCCAGACTTTGGAACAGTCTACCTTCTAATCTCCGTCTCTCTAACACTGTAGAGGTCTTTAAAAATCATTTAAAAACTCACCTTTTCATCCAGGCGTTCCCACCCTAAATGTTTCAGAATGATGGCTTTGTTCGGGTTCACACCTTCACTTTGTTTATACTCGTGATTTTATTTTCTACGTTTATCACTGCTATTGTTTTTCTGATGTTTTTACTGGTTAGAGGTATTTGCCCTGGTCTTTATCATGTTGTACAGCGCTTTGTGATTTATATCTGTGAAAGGCGCTCTATAAATAAACTTTTACTTACTTTACTTACTTACTTACTCGTTGTGCTCTGGCTCCTGGCTCTAGGGTTCAGTTACACATGAAACCATTTTCTTGCACAAAATTGGAAAATAAATTGTATTTTTTTTTTCAAATGTGAAATAAGAGGTTTTATGTCTTCACTCGTCTTGTGGAAGAAAAGAAGGTAGAAGACTTTAGAGGCCAGGTTCATGAAGAACCCCCATTTTTAAAACTCATTTAGCTTAATTCTGAAGCTATATATCCATAATTGTTACAAAAACTCAACCTCAGAGTCATAAATGGACAGAAATGAATATGAGCTGAAGCGGGTGCCCAGATGTCCTGAATTTTTCTGATTTTAAAGTGTATTTGGATAGTCAAATCAGGGATATCTGTGGTTGTGTGACTTGACAGTTGCTGTTTTGTGGGCCTGAAACAGAAGAATCGACTGGTTTAGAGACAGTGTTCATTAGGAAAAGAGCTCAAGACGTTGAGGTTCTCTTTGGGAATAGTGGGGATGGATAAGATCAGGAAGAGTCCATCAGAGGACTGCTCATGTTACAGAGGACAGACTGAGATGGTTTGGACAGAGGAGGGATAACTAGGTAGGATGCTGAGGGTGGAGCCACCTGGCAGGAGGAAGAAGAAAGGGAGATTAGTGGATGTGGTGAAAGAGGACCTGAAGTTAGTTTGTGTGAAGGTAGAAGCTACAGAAAATGGGACTACCGGTAAATGGAGACAGATGATTGGCTGTGGCGACTCCTGAAGGGACAAGCCTGAATAGATGGAAGACCTCTGCACTCATCAAACATCTCTTTGTGATTGCAACAAGTCACTAGTCAGCAGGAGAGGATGCATTCTCTCTGTTTCATGACATCATTTTCCAGCTCAGTAAAATGATTTTACCTCTGATGTAACGAATAATACAACTTTTTATCAGCTAAAACTTCTGTCCTTTCTGTGCCCTGATGTGGTTAAAGTGGGACACGATCAATATTCTAGTCATTTGTGACTTGATTAGGTTACATAAATACAAACAAGTTGACTTGTTCTGTTTGTGGCCTTCAGCGAAATGAATCTGTGCATTTTTGTTATTTGTTGAAGCCCCTGAAGCAACTTCTTACCATGAAAATGGGCTGCATGGTGGTGCAGTGGTTAGCACTGTTGCCTCGCAGCACGACGGTCGCAGGTTCGAAACTCGGCTGCGGCCTTTCTGCGTGGAGTTGCGTGTTCTCCCCGTGCATGCGTGGGTTTCCTCCGGGTCCTCCGGTTTCCCCCACAGATCACATCTTCTCTCTATCATGAACAACCCCTCCCACCCCATGCACGCCCACATGATGGACCACCGAAGCACACGCAGCAAAAGACTCATTGCCCCGAAATGCAGAACTGACCGCCACAGGAAATCCTTGGTACCGGTGGCAATAGGACTGTTTAACTCTTCCTCACGCTGTAGGTGATTCTCCAAATACTATTACCTTGGTTATTCTGTTCCCTCCCAGACTGTGCAATATTACCCAAGAGTTCTGATTGTAAATATGTTTTTATCCCCCCATCATATCATATGCTGCTACAAACCCATATTCTTTTACACAATACTTTAATCACTTTTGTGAATCGCCTGCACCGACGGCTTAATTACTTATTCACAAGGATGCAGTCATGTATTTAATTATTGAGATATGCGATTGTTTGTTTTGCACTATCCTACATGGTACTACTGTAGATCTTTTTTTTTTTAATGAATATATTGTATATCATATTTCTATTTCACCTGTTCCTTTGTCTCTCCAACTGCTTTGAGCATGTACATGACACAAGAATTTCCCTCGGGATAAATAAAGTTGTTCTTATTCTTATTCTTAACATGCCCTATAGGTTATAAATTGTAAGTCGCTTTGGATAAAAGCATCTGCCAAATAAATAAACATAAACATACAAATGCAAGTTTCATGAAAATAGAGGCTTTGCTATTTTTCTTTAGTTAGCTCAAGAATGGAACCAAGCGAAAGCATGAAAACGTATTTACACAGAAGACACGAAAGAGAATAAACACTTAGCAGAGCTGTTGTTTACAGCCCAGCCCTTGACTGGTTGGATCCGTTTGCACGGGGCAGCTGTGAGTTTTTACTACCCTCCCTCTCCCGAGGCATTCCCTCGCTGTCCGCCTCCGTTAGCTGAATTGTTTTGGTAGTAAAATAGCCCGCTTAAATATGCATGAGGAATATTTCCTCTCAGATTAGGGAGCCGGAACTGAGAAGATGTATGGAGCCTCATTGGAGAAGGGTATCACAGGATGGATGCATACTAATGACCCCCCCCCCCCCCCCCCCCCCCATTTATCTGGCCTGTTCCCTTGTTCTGCTGTTTTCATCTGTCTCACACTCTCTGTACCCCTCTTACGTTCTTTCACCATCTGTTAGCATATCTCCATCCTTTTTATCTTTACACACACACGCGCACACACACACACACACACACCTCTGTCACCTTGTTGTTTTCTTCTTCTCCCTCCAGACAACCTGAAGGGAAGACAGCTTCTTCACACAACCTACAAAATGTTCATGACGGCAGCAGGTGTGGAGGGTAAGGGCTTCTGTTCGAAACACACACACACACACACACACACACACACACACACACACACACACACACACACACACACACACACACACACACACACACACACACATTAGGGATTACATTGAGCCTCTTGCACTGCTGCAGCGTCTCATACCTTAAGCCACATCTCAAGAGCACAGATACGATCATGGTGATGAGACCCAGAATAGGAGCCATTGCAGACAGACGAGCTGCACCGCTTCAGTGTTCAGTGAAGCGTGCTGTAACTGATGAACACCCCCCCCCCCCCCCCCGCCATCCTCCCTGCTTTCTTTCAACTTCTTATCATGCTTTCTTCTTTCTCCCTCGCTTGTCCCCACTCCAAATCCCTTCTCGCTTCTTCTAAATTTTCTTTCACCTTCTCCTCCCCCTTTCTCTCGTTCTCTCTCTCTGCAAATCTTTTCTTTTAAACTTCTCTCTTTTTCTTTTCTCACCTCTTTCTGTCCCCATTTCTCCCTCCTTCCCATCCTCCTCTCTCATTATCACCCCGTCTGCCTTCCTCTGTCCTGCCTCTCTTTTTACCTTCCCTTCTTTAACGCCCGCTCACCTATCCCTTCTTCCATCCTTCCCATTTCTCTTCTCTCCCACCATCTTTTTCGTTTTGGCAGTGCTCAGCCTGTTGTTCCATTGTGTCTACTGGGGCCTGTATGCCAGGGATGGAGTTGGCAATTTCAGCCTGAAAATTCTCGGTGAGTTTCTTTTCCCCCCGAATTGGTCACTGGCTGAATGACTGACGCTGGCTCGGCGGCGGAAAATCTCTCGCTGCCTGAGCAGAATGGATGAGTGGACGATGATGGATGTGTGTGCGTCTGAAGAAACAGAGCGGCTGGTTTGATGGGCAGAGACCGGATCATGCGTGACTGTGTGTGCAGTACGTGTGTGTGCTGACCTGATTTTGTTGTTCCTCTCTGATTTTTCACTTCTGGAAACGACAACCTAATTACCCCTTCTGTCTTCTCTTTTTTTGTCCTGCCTCTCTCCACCTCTCTGTGCATCTCCAGGGAAATTACTGTTCTCCGTCAGTTTCCTGGTGTTCCTTCTGATGCTCATATTGTTGGGCAAAGGTTTCACTGTCACCAGGTGGGGAAGGGGCTCTCTTGTTTTTGCGTGCATGTTTGTGTTTATGCATCCTCTCATGTTCTGTGGGCATCTTTTCACTCGTGCGACGTTCTGTTGATGTCTTTGCCGTCTTTCACTGTCAGGCCTTTCTGCCGCTGTCTCATTACGACACAAAGCCATGTTTCGGAGGAAATCTGTGAGGGTGCTGAGATCTTTGTGTGAATAAACTAACACTCCTGCACCCTAGTGGTTAAAAGTTGAATTGCAACTGTCGTAAACAACCCTGCCACTACCTGCTTTAGCTAGTGCTAACAATGATTAAACGCAAACATGAGACAACTAATAAACCACAAAGTAAAAAGCTCCACTATATATATATATATATATATATATATATATATATATATATATATATATATATATATCAATCAATCAGTTAATTAAATACAGGCTAATATTAGAGGATTTACAGTATATATAGATATATATATGATCGACCTTTTTCCCCATCACTTTCATTTTTTAAATAGTAATTAATAAACATTCAATACCATTACAATTTCCTTTGATTTAATTTTAAATAAATATTTAGTGCCCAGATAGCACATAAACAATGCAATTTAACGGTTTTCTTAAAGCAGGAACGTTTAAACTGTGGCCAGAGCTCTCTCCTTCCTTCTGCTCTGCGTAATCCTGAACTGGTCACCTACTTGTGTGTAATTAAATGTCTATAGGGCAAAAGACGGAAAAGATATTTTGCCTCAGACCGACTTATTGCTGTTTTATGGTGTGGCTGAATCTGCGATCTGCTGCCACACGGACTAGAATAACAAATGCTGCAGTAACAGGACTTGTCAGGTTCATGAGGAGTCACTGGCTGGAGCGGACTCGAATTTCATTCGTCATCCCAAAATAGAAGCTAATATCTTAATTTGACCTTGAATGAAAAATGTTATAAAACCTCTTAAAAGTTTTCATCACAGAGGAGGCAGCGCTCATTTCTGCCTTCAGTCCGACGGCGCGGCACCGGAGTTTGCGCAGCATGCGCTTATTGAATCTGTGTGTGTGTGTGTGTGTGCGCGGCACAGCTCCATGAGCCGCTCAAGTCACCGCGTGTCGTTATTGGCGCTATTTAAACCAATGTTGTAAAATGACTTCTGCCCAGCCAGATGTGCTCACTTGTGCACCCGTGAGCCGTGGTTCCGCTGGAACACGTCTGACCTCTGACAGACGCACTCTGAACCTCAGATCTTCAGCGTGCTGTTAATAGCCCGACACGTTTAGAATGCTGTCCCACAGTCAAGTGTGCTAATATAATAATGCTAAAATGCTCAGATGGGAATCATTTCTTGATTTATTTTGTTACATCCACGATGTTCTGTGTGTGAGGTTTACAATGTCAGAACACCTGCATGAGACAGGGTGTTAATTACAATCTGCCAGAATGACTCACCACCTTCAGATAGCTCCAACATCGTTAAAAATGTTCAAATACGGAACATATCTTGATATTGACAACGTGCGCAGGCCAGAGCGCTGAAGCTCGGCACATTATTATTATGAAGCTAGGGCACATGTGGAGGAGGACACACACACACGCGCGCAAAATATACTTGTTTTCAATTACATTTATTGTGCCCACTTATTTTTTCTAAGGCCCACCCACAAATGAGTTTCTGGCTACGCTAATGGTGACATATGACAGACTTTTCTGAGCTCCGCAGCCATTACACTTTTCATCTCGCGCACCCCCTAGCGGCAGCTCACACTTAGGGAACCCCTGGTTTAGAGAGAGAGGAACCCATCCAATATGGCGACGACACTGTTATGCTCTCCAGCGCCCATTGGTCCATGCTTTTAACTTCCAGGCTTTGCCATGATGCCAGCAGAAAAAGCAATTAAACTTCTTCCATTTCTTCTTCTTATGCTTATTGTTAACAATCAGCGAACTGAAAGTGCTAACCACTAGCATTGCAGCTAACAGCCAAAAAGCAGGTAAAGAGAACTAGCTAGGACACCTACCCGCTTCACAAGACTATCTAGTGTGGTTATTGGCCAGCAGAGGGTTGCAGAGTGGTGTCAAATGTGAAACAGATCGTTTCTACCTCAACAGTCACTGAGATCAATGCTAAAGCTCAAGCTTCAAGTTTTAAAAGCTATCTACTGTAACTTTAACTCCAGGTGGTGAAATGTGTCCATGCTGCAGTTTAGGGCCCTTCTGAGAGAAGAATTATCTTCAATTTTGGTTTGCTCCTGTTTTTTTCCTCCCCCGGCAAGGCTTAGTGGTCATTTGTTTGGGACTGGCAGCTCGACTGCACAATAGATTATTTATGCGACTCCTCTTTGTCACTGAAAGTGTTTATCCATCTGTCACCTGGAACCCAGATTACACCCAGCGGTCACGTGTTTTCTAGTTTCAGCCATGACTTCTGAGATGAAGAAAACAAGCCAGCTGTTACACATTAGTTGGGTAAAAGAGATGCTCATTTGTGTCTTTGTGTTTTTAGAAAGCATCAATAGAGCTAAACTGTGTTTTACAAGGTTTTGAGATTAGATTAGTGGTGAAGCTTCGTCTTGCTTCACTGTTAGTTTTCTGAAAATTCACACTGAGCTAAGCTGGAGTTTGGAAGATAAACTATTTTTAAAAATTGCATTAAAATCCAGGAAAAAAGAAAAGAAACAAATAGCATCCTCCTCTAAGTTTGCATGGTTCTGTGATCTTTGAACATACTTAAATAAATAAAATAAAAACTTCAAGGTTTAAAAAAATTGCATGACAAATTCACAGTTTTAGAAAATCCTAACATGTTTTTTATTAGAATTTATGTGGAAAGAAAATTTAAATATAGTTTCAGACTTAATGTTGAATGTTTTGGATTTGCTCACTGTTGCGAACGAAGACTTGCCGGTTCTTTTCTTTGTTCTGTTCGTGTTTTTGCTTCTATTAGCCACATTCAGTTGCTGCTCCCCTGCTTGTGTATTCAGCTCTCTGCTTGAGCATAAAACATCAAATGCATAATTGTGTGTGAGTTTTGTGCATCTCTTGAGTGTGTTGGTGTGTATTTGTTTCTTATCTCTCTCCAACATGTGTGCAACCTCTGATCTTACGGGTTTGTCCCGGTTTTATCAGAGCGAGGATCAGCCACAGCGGGTCTGTTAAATTAAGCATCTACATGACGGTCTACACAATCACCTACGTCATCCTCTTCATCTACGAGGCCGAGGTACTGAACACACACACACACACACACACACACACACACACACAATGGCTAAGACTCAGACTGGGAGTTGGTCTTTCAACAGATCATAAGTCAAATTATGAAAACTCAGACTTTATTCAAGGAATTCATCATCAGGGGAAAATATTTTAGCCAATAATGTTTTTTTTTTTAAATATGATCGCTTACTCTGGTTTTAACATGCAGGCTAAACACGAAAATAGCCTTCTACCCCTATTTCTTTAGCCTGCTGACAGAAAATAGATGGAGAAATGCTAGGATTAGAAAATCCTGACAGATCTACATCACACACTAAAGTTAGCATTCATGAACCCCCCCATCTTAGCTCACGACGAGGAAGGCTGTTGTTAGCTTAGCGTTCAGGAGGGAGCAGAGCATGGCTTGGTTAGTAGAAGCTAACTGTTAGCATTAGCAACTCCACCACATAGCAGAACTCCTTCAGGCTTGTGTTAATTGTAGGGATAAAACCTCAACATTGCAGAGCAAATAGAGTCGGTGGTAGAGTTGTGTTGCCGTTAGCCAATCAGAGGAGAGATGTTTGCAATAAGACTCCAAAACCTGCCGTCTTCTGTCCCCTTGTCCTCTGGTTCACTTCTAGTTCCTGAAAAAGGAGCGCCAGAGCTTTTTTCTCAGAGATTCACTCACAAGGCATTCATTCATCTATGCTAGATAGCATTGCTAATGTTTTGAAACAAGTGAACTTGATTTTTAAAAATGTATCTAAGAAAGGGTTTCATGAAGCAAAATAAAGCTGGAAACGAATTCATGGCTATTTTTATGCACAGAAAGATTTATCGTGTCCAGTTTTTCCCACAATGGCAAATGCAACAAAATATCCTGTTATTTAGAATAATCCCCATATTTTCTATGCTTCTCTAAACACGGTTAAGTCCTGATTACAACAGGGGTCATCTCAGGGCACTCCTGTAGATAAATATAAACAAGTTTAATTAAGTGCCATCTAATTCGTGCTGCCGGCATGCGAGGCTTCGATGCAGCCGAGTGAGCTGTGTGTGAGAAACACAAGACTTGAGGCTGACATCTGGAGTGGTGGCTTCAGCCTGCGATAAGCTGCAAACTTAAACAAAAGAGCTCTACAGAGAGCAAAGCTGCTGCAGGAAAAGATGCAACGATACAAGACTCGTGTGTTAGTTGAACCACAGTCTGTCTGTTATAATCTGCGACTGACGCAGAAAACCACACGATGAGCTCTTGGGATTGCAGTGAAAATCAGTTTTGCTTATAGGCAATTGAATGAAACCCACGAGGAAAAGAACATGAAGGCGGTTCTGTCCTGCTTTCTGCTCGGCTGCAGTCTTTTTGGTGCTGGAAACCCCGGCGTTCAAAAGAAAACGGTGATGATAATAAATGAAAGATTTCAAATAGACACAACCAATGATGGGTTTTTAGATTACTCCTAATCTTCAATGTTAAAGAAAATACAAATGGCTTCTTTTTATGTGCATTTTTCATTTATTTGGGTGTATCGTAAAAAAATAAAAATAAAAAGGTAAAAGAGATTTTAAGGCAATAATGTTTTCTGTGTGTTTTCACAAGATGGAGCAGCTAAAACACGATTCGCCAAATTCCTGACCAGAATGTAAAGAAATGTGCCTAAAAAGTAGCCTAAAATATGGACTGCTTAGATTTTTTTTACCTTAATTCAACTCTTTTAGACAAATGTTAAAATATACGGTTACAGCTCGTCTTTGTGACAAATGAAGAATTGTATAATCTAGAATAATCTCAGCTTAGTTTTTATTTTACAAGAAACATGGATATTTACAAATTGTGACATTTAAAGGCGTTTTGACTTTCTTTTAACAATGTAAAAAAAAGTGAATAATTTTTGTAGTTTTTGTTATTTTCTAGTTTGGTACCGAATATATGAAACATGAATTTTATCAAACAGAACTGTAAACTTATTATAATGTGTTTAAGTCTGAGATTGTTCCACACAGATTTAATATCCCTAACTATAAGTTTCAGATTGAGTAAAAGACTAAAATTGTCAATTATTGGTATTTTTAGTTCTCCTATTTTATTTATTGGACTAATTAGTTTTTTAACCAGGAAAGTTTTGTAAAATATCCACCAAATCACTCTGTCAGCCTGAAAAGTCTATAAAGACTCAGCCGAATACATTTATTAGACATTAGTGTTTGATAAGAACAGTTACGAGTGTGTAATGGCAAGAATCTGACGATACGATATCATGATTCAGGGGAGGCGATACAATATATATATCACGATTCAGGGGAGGCGATACGATATATATATATATATATATATATCACGATTCAGGGGAGACGATACGATATATATCACGATTCAGGGGAGATGATATGATATTTATCACGATTCAGGGGAGATGATACGATATATATCACGATTCAGGGGGCCGATACAATATATATATCACGATTCAGGGGAGACGATACGATATATATCACGATTCAGGGGAGGCGATACGATATATATCACGATTCAGGGGAGACGATACGATATATATCACTATTCAGGGGAGGCGATACGATATATATCACGATTCAGGGGAGGTGATACGATATATATCACGATTCAGGGGAGGCGATACGATATATATCACGATTCAGGGGAGGCGATACGATATATATCACGATTCAGGGGAGGCGATATGAAATATTGTGATACCATTTGCAATTTCTAAAACTGAATTTGATTAGAAAACTCAGGCGAGATGCTTCCAAGACACATTGCGAGATCTCGTTCCATCAGAATAAAGACGGTAGGAACTGCTGCCACCTAGCTGTCAGAGTTTGAATTACACCACTCAAAACACACAGTAAATGTATGTGTGTAAACTCAATAATCATTACACTGCTTTTAAATATTGATTCACTATCTGCATCGGTAAACCTCACAGTCTTTCAGTGCATTGATCTTTTCTTCCAGACCTAACTAAGGTGTGTAAAAACTGTTAAGATTTGTGGCTTTTGCTTTCCTCCTTCAATCTTCTGATAGGAAGGTTTCTGACTTGACTCACCAAAAGCTCCACTTGTGTTACTGCTCTCATTGGCTTTTTTAATACTCTCATAAATATTCATGAAAGAACGAGCCCCACAGATGAGCGTGGGCCGTAATGGCTTTTTCTGTCAAGAAACTCATTACATTGACTTATTGCTAATTATGAAAATGCGTCAACTTGACTGTACAAACAAAAAAAAAAAAATATATATATATATATATATATATATATATATATATGTCCTGAAAGGAGATGGTACAGATTATCATTTACAAACAGAGCCAAACACATTTATGCTAAATGTTAAATGATCTACAGTATAGGCTGGACAGCTGGATTGTACTAATCAGCATACTGGAAGGTCTTCCCTCTCATTAATTACAGAACATGCTCTTTTCATGTTCTGTGTGTGAAGATGAAACTGTGTTTTAGCGGCTATGATGTTGAGCACACGAGCCGATGCATTAATAACGCCCTCTGGAGTTGTAGGATGCACGCATATATCTGCAGAGCGGCGATGCTGCTGCACAGTGGGATGTAAAGCTGCTGCTACAAGAGGCGGCGGATTATGGTCTTTAAGTTCTGGGTGGTAATGATCCACGACCAGAAGAGTGTTGTGGAACTGTCTGTGCTATTTTTAATCGAAGCATACACGCATCTCTCACAGTGTGCAGTTCTGAGGATTTATCAGCCGCCTGGCCTCTTCCGCGGTGCCTGCTATCGCAGAGCTGGAAACTCAGGGGAACCGTCTAAAAAAAGCTAAACTAGGTTACAAGTGGGACTGAAATGGAGACTTTGAAAGAGTTCCTGGTACTCTGGCTGCAGTCTGAAGTCTGCCAGGTTCTGGTTGGCTGGAGTGCATCTCAGGAAGCATCGCACTGAGCTTTCAACACTTTGCATTATGTAGTAAGAGTAACTCTGTCTGACTCGTGCCTTCCAGTCACTGCACTTGTGAAAGGAAATCCAGCGCCTGCACGTGTACCCAAAGCTGTGGGCACACACCTAGTTGTGTTAAAGAGTCAATATCAAACACAAAGTCAGAACGGGACAAGCTGGGCCTTTTGGCTCGGCCACCTCAGTGGGTCAGCTGAACGGTGAGCGATGTCTTTGAAAACAGAACGATTTGCCTACGTTTTCTTTGTTTTAAAAGTCGTGTTTGTAACGCGTGTCTTCTCTTTCCATATCAGTTCTTCGACCCGGGTGAAGTGCTCTACGTCTACGAGAGCCCCGCCGGCTACGGCCTGATGGCCCTGCAGCTGGTGGCCTACGTGTGGTTCTGCTATGCCGTGCTGGTTTCCCTGAAACACTACCCTGAGAAGCAGCCCTTTTACGTGCCATTCTTTACCACGTACACGCTATGGTGAGAGCGTGACCTCACTCTGCCCTCACTGCCGACGACAACACCTGAGCTGGAGACAGCAGGAGTAGAAAAATACACATCTCTCTGCGTGGTGGCTCCTGAAGTCGAATAATTTATTTCACTCTGTGAACATCATGTTTTCCATCTTTCCCCTATTTGTGTTGTAGATATAACCACTAGAGTGAGTGATAGCCAGAGGAAAATATGTGTTGGAATAATTCATGCTTTCATATATTTTTGCTAGAAACTCCATGATTTTCACTGGAAAACAGTTTTTTTCACTTCGTGCAACGACAAAAACATCCCCCTTGAACACACGCTGGTCAATTTCCTGCCCCTCATCAGTAATGTCTAATAGTGGAGGTTTGGAGCGAATGCCACTTTTCAAAGACTAATATTATCTCTGCATTTCTCCCTCACTGCGGTGAATATCCCTTGCCTCATTATCTACAGTTCTCCTTCCATCATTAGCTCTCTTCTACTCTCCCTGCCCTGTCTCTCACCATCAAACCATATCCTCATCACCTTGTTTCATAAGCTCTCTCCTCTGTTTGACTAAATTTGCTCCTTTTTTCTCCCTCAGGTTTTTCGCCGTTCCCGTCATGGCTCTGATCGCCAACTTCGCGATTCCCCGTTGGGCTCGGGAGAAGATAGTCAACGGCATTCAGCTGGGCATCCACCTCTACGCTCACATCGTCTTCCTTGTTGGTACCACACGCACGTGCTCATGCACACCCTTTGCAAAGTTCACATTATTCAAGAGTTGTCGTTATCGCGATCATCTGTACATTCTTCATCCCTGGAAATACTCACTGCATCACTCTGACTGTCTACACATCAGTATGTGTCTCTTTTTAACTTTCAGCACATTTTTCTTTTCGAGTGGACTGTAATTTTAACCCAAATATTCTGGATTTGTCTGTACTTTTTAAAATTTAACCAGAGCTTATGTTTGCTGATTGCATTAGTTTTACAAAAATGCACTTGTTATTTGCTCGTTTCTTAGGTTATTACGAGACCATCAGCAGCCAACAAAAATTTCCCGTATCACGTTCGGACATCCCAGATTGGGATCCTCTTGTCCAGTCCAAAAGGAGGTGAAGGAGGGGAAAAGTTTCCCCATCATGCCTATGGAAACAGCTCCTTCCTTGGAGACTCTCAGCCAAACTTTACTGAACTTTTCTCCATCCAGTCAGTAAGTCTACACGTGATGTTTGTTCATATGTGACTTTCAAAATAAAATGAGAAAGGGCGTAAAAGGCTCTAATTATAAAATTATCTAGTTAAAATGGAAAATAAAGCTATGGTAAATGGCCTGTATTTGATATAGCGCCTTCTAGAGTCATGGAACCCCCCAAGGCGCTTTACAACACAATCAGTCATTCACCCATTCACACACACATTCACACGCTGGTGGGGATGCGCTACGATGTAGCCACAGCTGCCCTGGGGCGCACTGACAGAGGCAAGGCTGCCGAGCACTGGCGCCACCGGTCCCTCCGACCACCACCAGCAGGCATTGTGGGTTAAGTGTCTTGCTCAAGGACACAACGACAGCGACAGACTGAGCGGGGCTCGAACCTGCAACCTTCCGATTACGGGGCGAGCACTTAACTCCTGTGCCACCGTCGCCCCATTCTATTTTAGCTATAAAATTAGCTAAAATACAATCAAGGACAACAAGATGTTGTCCAGTAGAAAGATATGCGTGGTCAGGCGATGAGAGAGTAGCAGCAACAACTACAAAGGCTCTTCTTTTAGCTTTGATCTGAAGACAAAAACCGACCGTGATCAGCTGGCCTCGGGGGTCCTGGTGGTGGCAGACGGCTGCTGTAGAGATGCAGACATGTATGAAAAAGCATCACCATGCAGAGTTTCAAAAATCCTGATCAGTGTAACTGAAATCTGCGTAGAAAATGTAGTTGACGCAGACAGATCAGTTAAGGCGTTTGGGCGAAGTACAGATGTTCCAGAGATGTTTTACTGAAAACAGGTTTACAGTACTTAATACAAAAATACACAAATGTCTTCAGTTTGAGAGTATCATCTAAGTACCAGGATTTTATCCAATTACCGTATTTTCCGGAGTATAAGTCGCACCAGCCATAAAATGTATAATGAAGAAGAAAAAAACATATATAAGTCGCACTGGACTATAAGTCTCATCTTGGGAGGAAATTTTATTATTTTTCTTACAAAATCTGAGACCACGCATTTCTCATTGCAAGACAAGTACTGGTAACAATAACAGAATAAACAATCAGGGTGCAGCAGCGCGCCACAGCCTCCAGCAGAGGATGGCAGTGTTTCAAACCCTCCCAGTGGGCGGGGAGAGTTCATTCCTCAGCCGGAGCTGGCCCGCAGCACCCCGCCAGCTGCAGCAGGTGATGGCGGTGTTTGAAACCCTCCCAGCGGGACAGGGGAGCTCATGCCTGGGCCGGAGCCGGCTCACAGCAGCGCGGTATTTATAATTTGGTATATAAGTCACGTTGGTACATAAGTCGCAGGGCCAGCCAGACTATGAAAAAATAAGTGCTAGGTTGGAAAAATGCAGATGCTCATTTAGAGGGACGCAAACAAAGCTCAAATGAATTGGAACCAAGAACTGATTCCTGTGGAACACCGTTTTCAGGATAACTGATTTAGCAGCAGAGGAAACCTATGTATGAGATGAGATGCTTGATGAATTATCCGCTTTAAATAAGTCTAGTCGGTGAACAAGTGACAGAAACAACAGACTAGAAACAAGCATCGGAATGAGAAATATGTCGAGTCACAAAAATTTTCATGGCTTCCTTTATCTACTTTGAGGCTCATTTTCTGGCGCTTTTACGTGCAGACTTCACTGTGTCAAACGTAGCTTGAAATTAACTGTTCTTATCTTAACAGACAAGCTTCAAAATTAGAACGCATCAGTGTAGCCGTACAGTTTGCAAGAGAGCTTGTTTCTTAATGATTGTTGCTTGGCAGGAGCTTCAATCTCCTCCAGGCGATGATGCTCTGCAGAACACAACAACGGGCCTGGTATTAAAATACGACATAATAAGGTGTTCATGTTTGATGTGATGATCTGTCTACTTCAGCTCAGTGGGTGTTGCTTTGTGACAGACACAAGAACGGTTCACAAACAGATTCCCTAAAACTCAAACCCACGAGGATGGTTCGGGACAATGAAACACTTAAAATTACAGCACATAAAAAAACACGTCTAAGGAGCAACAATATGTACAATCTGAGAAGTTTTCAGTCTAATTTGGACATAAATGCCCGTCATGAATCCCTGTAGTAGCAGCACATCACCATCAACAGCATGATTAGAATAGCTGGAGTAAAAAGTGTTTCTGGTCAGTAAATACTCTGACTTCTATGCTATTAGCCCAGTTGTTGGCATTATTGCTAGTAAATGTCAGCTTATTCATTTGCATCCATCAGCTCTCGTGAAGTGCTGGAGGGCCGAACTTAAGTCTGATTTTTTGTGTATTTTCTAGTTTATTTCATTGAAAGGTTGGGTTGACCAAGACGCGTATAATATTTGTTCCTTTTGAAATACGATCAGCCGTGCATGCCGAATGTGGCTGTTGTTGATTTAGCATCCTGAGGGGAGCAGAGCGCGTCGCGGCTAGTAGACGCTAACTGTTAGCATTAGCACCTCCACAGCATGGCAGACCCCTTCAGGCTTGTGTAATTTGTGGAGATAAAACATCAACAGGCAGCAAACAGGCAGTGGAAAGGTTTCAGTGCCGATAACCAATGGGAGGTCAGATGTTTGACTATCATGAATATTGATGAGAAAAAGCGTTTTACCACTTTGTTGTCTCACAGAGCGCCGTTAAATTCAGCGCTTCTTCTGGTAGTTGAATGCCACATTTTGCATCACACAGCCGCTCTCTCACTCCTCCAAATGGATTAAATTATGATGTCTTAGCGAAGTCCTGAAAGGGTCGATGTTTGTGAAGATGCAACGGCTGAGAGAACCGAGCCATCGTATCTCCTGGTCAATTTTCCCTCTCCCAGAAATTTCCTGGAACTATTATAGTTCAAACATGGCTTAAGCCTCCAAATCCTGCTGTTTTCTGACCCTGCTCCTCTGGCTAACTTCTACTTCCTGAAACAGCTTTTTTCTCCACAGAGATCAACTCACAAGGCGTTCATTTATAATGGAGACAACAGCAAACGCATTGGAGTAATGAGTGTGTGCTCTCTTTAAATAACTGTGCCTGAAAATGAGCCTGTTAGCGTATTTTTTTAATGTCGTTATTATTACTTCATTGTATTTTCTCTTGTTGGCATGTCTCTTTAAGCCTCCTCCTAGTGAAGGACGAAAGGTGAGCGTTAGTGTTTTTGCCTGTGTTTTCATGTATTCAGTTGTTTTTTACGTTGGTAAAACATTTCATTAACTACTGAGGAGGGTTTTAATGAGTCTTGCTTAGTTGTGCATCTGCAGCTTATTAACATTTGGAGTTGGATCCATTTATGATGCCTGCCACAGCTAATCGACGTTAGCAAACACGAAATTGGAAAAACTGTCAATTTTACGGATGCAAAGCTTAAATTTCAATCCAATTAAAGAAGAAGTGGACAGCTAACCAATTTTGGTCAGAGTCATGCAAAACACAATCTGAGATATAGCAGCTCCTGCAATATCACCTGCAGTGTTTTTCCTCCGGTTTTGACCCAAATGTCATCTTTTAAAGTTCTGGCATGAAAGATGACGAGCTATATGTTTTATTTCAAGGAATGCTGGGTTTTCAGTTTTTGCATGCATCTTGAGTAGGGTTACACAATAAATCGTAATTATATCGTTATCGCGATATCAGCATGCACAATATGCATATCGCAAAGAACAGATAAATATCGCAATGAATGTACAGCTCAGATGTTTGCTACACATGATGTATTTTGACAATCAAACGGAAGCATGATGTTTTTTAACAAATCAAATAGAGCTCTTCACCCATTTGGCCAATTGGGTGGGTTCTCATTGGTCAGATGTCCGCCCCCGAGGCGGACGGCACTTAATTTAGATGGTTAGCAAACACCTGAGTTAGCTTTGTTCTGCTCTTTCCGCTGATTCTGCCTTTCTTGTTCATTTCTTTTTCCCTTTCCTCACACCTTTTGCTTTTCTCATTTTTTAGGATTTTTTTATTTCTTTGTTTTTGATTATTTTTGTTCCTGAGTTACGTTTTTATTTATCGCAAGTAATATCGTCATCGTGATATTAATCACTGTTATCGAATATCGCAGGCTTTCCTAATATCGTGCAGCCCTAATCTTGAGCATTATTGAATAAAAAAAAGACCACAAGTCAAAACAAAAGTTGTTTTTTTTTGTTTCAAGGATCCAGTAAAGACTGTGGAGGAGACGGTGGCGCGCAAAGGACCAGATGTGCAAAGGAACAGCGAGCAGAAGATCATCACCACTGCAGCAGATATGGCCTTCATATTGCCCCCGCCCCCGCCCCCGATACCTCCACGCCCGGCTTCTCGTTCGCCCCCGATGCCATCTCGGCTCCCTTCCTTCACGGAGTATTTCAGCATGCAGAGTGGCAGCGGAGCGGGCTTTGGAACGAAGGCGTGAGATGGGTGGAAACAAAAGACGGTGGTGGAAGGAGGGATGGTATGAAAGCAATGGACAGAATGACAAGAACACGGAGAGTCAATGAAAACCAAGGTGTCAAAAGGTCACGAGAATAATAGAACGACAGACAGAAGTTACCAGAAAATGATTTCCTAAATGGTTCTTTTTTTCCATCAAGTGAAAACGAACAAAAATGGAGAAATAAGAAGAAACGGCCGACACACAAATGCTGAGCTTGTAAAAGAATAAAGAAGCAATAAATATTAGATGTCGACCAGTTGAGGGTGGAGAGACGAGGAAGTGCATGTAGCCAGAGCAATAGAGCGATCGCTGTGCACAAAGTGGAAATGAACAAAATCCTTTCATTCAAAAATTCATGAGGCTTTGATGGTGTGCCTGCAAGAGTTTGTAAATAGCTAAATCCTTTCAGATTTACAGTGATATTGCAAACTGTTTTATTTTGTTGTATTTTCACCACATCACGTCCTAGTTGGTGCTGTGACTGCAGAAAAACTCATGCCACATTACATGTAAAAAGTTAGATTTTTTCACGTTTTAGTTTTAAAATGGACACATTTTGATAAAGTTTGATATATTTACGCTCTATGGAGTCTATGGGTTCATTTCTATACGTGTATGCCTTCACTGGCTCTGGTTATTCTGATCGATATGCTGATGTGTAACTGTAAATCGTCACACCCGTAAAACATGCATGTTCGTATCGTACTTCCTGTCCGAAAAGCAAACGCTGATAAATGTGCTCCATGTGATGAACAGTTGCTTATTGTGTGTATTGAGAAATCCATCCATGTGTAAAATCCATACAGTAGGCTTCAGTCTATTTTTGATGGCGGTATTTCTGTTGAATATTCTGATCTTATGCTTTATGAAACCCGATGGAAAACCAGTGTTATTTCCCATTTTGGTTTTAGTCGAATTTCCACCAAAGTGCAGAATTTGCCTGTTTTGAAACGGTCCTGTTCGTTAATGTGGACGCCGGTGAATGTAATGATGCAACACAGCACAAGGACAGCGGTGTTTCTGAACCAACTTTTATCTGCAAAACACTTTTTTTTTGCTTCCACCAACAAAACATCTCAGATTTACAAGCAGAAGTTTGCTTTTTCTCTTTTTTATTACAAGTGACGTCATGCTCACCCCTGTCTTGTACCTGAAACCTGAATATTTGATTTGCCGCAGTGCAGAAAGCTGAACAGATAGTTTTGTATATTGAGTCGGGGGAGGGGGGCTGTGAACACGGCAACACAACTGTACATTTCGTCTGTCCTGCATGGAGCGCTTTAATGTTCCTGGTCTGTTTATTTCTGATGATGTCACCCCGTTAGGCCACTTTGACACCTGTATTCATCATGCAGTAGCATTCCCTCCACTTTGTAAATGCAAACTAAAACCACCACTTTCCAGACATCATATGGAACAATTTGTTCAAAGTTGATGCTTTTGTCTTGATTTACCACATCTGTGTTAATATACCAGATTTATCGGTGGAAGTCTTGCTGTCATGGAGTTCTGACGTTAGGACCGTGGTGTGAAACGTGCTAAGAGTCTAGTCAGAGGTGTAAATTAGTCCGTGAAACTGAACGATACTTGAGTTAAGAGTACACATTTTTTGATTGTCTGACTTGCGTTTTGGCGTGTCTGCCAACTCGTCCGCCAGGACTTGGTGGGCTTTTATTGACAGAGTACCGCTGCTTCAGCCTCGTGTGTACTGACATTTAACCACAGGAGAGAGAAGTGATAAGGCGTGACAGACAACAGCACAGCTTTTTGGCGACTCGGGAGCGATCTGGTTAAGAGCACATCACTAAAGCACCATTCTAATGCATTTTAATGGTGTCAAGTAATGCTAAATATGCTGTACATAGACACTTTTTGCCAAAATAAATAATAAAAATAAATTATGGTTTTATTTACAGCCTTGTCTGACTGTTTTATTAATTGGGGGGGGGGGGGGGGTTGTATTCCAGCTGGAGCAAAGGCAGAAGTAGTAAATCTCATATCTGTTAATAGTTTTAAAAAATGTGCCCTCATTATGAGGGTCTATTACAGTAACGTGCACTGGGGACTGTCTCCAACCTGCTCCCAGTCTGCTGGCAGCTATAATGGTTTCAGAGGATCCTATTACACTCTGTTAACCATTCAGCCTCAAACTTACAGAACAATTCCCTGCATGCAATGTTTTTTTTTTCTGTTTTAAGCCTTTTTTTAGGCAAATATAAAATCTAAAATGTGTTTTTGTTGCTAAATGTGGCTTGTGATTGTTATAAAAAATGAAAATAGGCGTTTCTGCAGCCATTTTGTGAGACACGGGTGTAACACCAACCCCGACAGTGAGTCATTCTAGTAATAATCTGCTCCTGTGCTTCAGTGACTCATCCTTTACGTTCTCCATGGAAATGGTGTTAACTAAGCTGCAAGTGTCACAGTTGGTTTCTATGTTTGTTGAGGAGACATTTTACTCAATTTTATTTCAGATGACTGACGGGAGAGTCTCATGAATTTTCCTCCTGCCAATCCAACAAATATCATTGAAATAACTTAACATCCAAGAGATTGATCAAGTCGCTTACATTCTTAAAGAAGTCTTGCTTCTTTTTTGGGAGTATTACCTAAAAATTTGAAGCTTTGTGTCCTTTTTTTCTTTATCACATGTGCTCTACAAGTAACAATGGGCCTACTGGATTACCTCGAACCTGGAATTCTTTTTGTCTTCTATGAATTTAAACAGATTATCAAGAAACATGGCGACTAAGAGGCTATCAGAAGATATTGAAGAAATTAAGAAGTTCCTTAACTTCATGTCGGAAGAACTGAGTAAGGTGGCAAAGCAGCAAACAGGACTAATGGACTTAATTGAAGAAGTAAGGCAACTTAAGACTGTGATTAAGAAAAAAGATAAGAGGATTGAAGATCTGGAGTAGTATACAAGAATGGAAGATGTGGTGATTTCTGGTCTGAAGACAAATCACTACACCTATGCACGGAGTTCAGCAGGTGACAAGGAGGGAGAAGACACACCTAGAGCTGAAAAGGATTTGCTTGAGCAGCAAGTTATTCAGTTTTTTAAAAACAAAGACTTTCCCTTGGAGAGTAAAAATATAGCAGCATGCCATACTATTTCACAAAAGCATGACAAGATGCCAACTATTATACTTCGATTTGTGAGCAGGAAATATAAAGTTGAACTGTTGAAGATGGGAAGGAAATTAAAGGGAACTGGAGTGTACATGAATGAGCATCTTACAAAGAGAAATGCTGATATCGCACGACAGGCAAGACTTTTAAAGAAGGAAAGGCACCTGGACAAGGAACTGTAAGGTGTTCATAAGACTCGATGGGTCACCAGAACAAGCAAAAGTTGTTGTTAGAGATGTTGCAGATCTTGAGAGATTTAAACAAAGATAATTCAGTGGAGAAAGAAGTACTTTTGTTGCTGACTGTGAAATGGACAATATTTGATAAGTGTGAGAAAAAAACTATGTATGTAAATGTGTGGAACATTTCATGAGTTAGATAATATTGATCCAGATATCCACCTTTATTACAATGTTGATATGACGTGATTATTATAGTGGGGAAGAGTTAGATCCTAAGATAAAAGGTTTCTCGTTAATTCACTTTAACAGTCGGAGTCTTTACAGTAATTTTTTTAAAATCAAAGATTATCTTGATCAATTTCAAAATAAGTTTGCTGTGGTGGCAATTTCAGAAACATGGTTGAATGATGACAGAACTGCAGGATGGACCAGAGGGTTATGAAATGTTTTGGCAAAATAGGAGGAATAGAAGAGGAGGAGGGGTCGCTATATTTGTTATATCGTGTCTTAAATGTAAAATTGTTAACAATATGACCGCTGTGGTGGATAACTTGATGGAATGTTTAACTATCGAAATTCAAGTTGAAAGATCTAAAAACATATTAGTTAGCTGTGTTTATCGTACACCTTCGTCGTGCATGGATCAGTTTATGAGAGAAATTTCTGTAATACTGGAAAAACACAAAGAAAAGACTACTTTATTTTATGGTGATTTTAATATTGATTCATCACTTACCTTCTTCCCCTGGGAAATATTTTCCGTAAATTTGACATCCATTTTCATTGTTACGCGGATGACACCCAGCTCTATGTATCCTCCAAACCCTCCTCTTCACTTCCTCCTTCCTCCCTCACCAATTGTTTATCTGAAATCAAAGACTGGTTCACATCAAACTTTCTCAAACTCAACAGTGATAAAACAGAAATGTTACTTGTCGGCACTAAATCTTTACTATCAAAAATCCACAGCTTTACACTTCCCGTCGACAACTCCTTAGTTTCCCCCTCCCCTCAGGTCAAGAGTCTGGGTGTCATCCTCGACTCCTCACTATCCTTCCAGTCACACATAAACAATATTACCCGGTCTGCCTACTTCCATCTACGTAACATTAACCGTCTACGCCCCTCCCTCACTACTCACTCGGTCGCCATCCTTGTCCACAGCCTCATCACTTCCCGTATCGACTACTGCAACACTCTTCTCTTCGGTCTTCCTCACAAAACCCTCCGTAAACTCCAACTTCTCCAGAACTCGGCAGCCCGCATCATTTCCAGAACTCCCGCCTTCCACCACATCACCCCTGTTCTTCAGCAGCTCCACTGGCTCCCAGTCACTTCCAGAATCCAATTCAAAATTCTGCTATATACATTCAAAGCCATCCATAACCTAACTCCACCGTACCTCTCATGCCTCCTTCATCCTTCAACCTCCACCCGTTCCCTCAGGTCCCCCCCTCCTCCATCCACCTCTCTGTCCCACCTTTCCGTCTGGTTACTCTGGGGAGCAGGGCCTTCAGCCGCTCTGCTCCCCAGCTCTGGAACTCACTCCCTCCTGACCTCCGTAACATTGATTCCCTCACTCTCTTTAAAACCAGACTCAAAACCCACCTGTTCCGTCTAGCATTCCAATAGTTACTCTCTTTGCTCCATTCTGTCTGTTTGTTTATGGTGTTTTATCTTTTATTGTTGTGTATTTTATCTCTGTAAAGTGTTCTTGAGTGTTCAGAAAGGCGCTGTTGAAATAAAATGTATTATTATTATTATTGAAGGCAAATGATCACAATAAGACTTCTGAATTTACTGATATAATGTTTAGTTTTGGGCTCTATCCGTTGATCCTAAAGCCCAGCAGAATAAAGACGGGTAGTGCCACTTTGTTGACAACATTTTCTTTAATAAGATAGATGGTAAAATACTCAGTGGACTGTTAGTCACGGATGTAAGTGATCACTTGCCTGTCTTTTCAGTGCTTGAAATGAATAATCAATTTAATATTCGAGAGGGAAAGATTGATTACATTGGTAGAATAAAAACACCAGAACACATTGCAGCTTTTAAAAGAGAATTAGAAAATTATGACTGGAAAAAGGTTTATGTGGGAGACACTAATGATGCATATAATGCATTTCTAGACATATTTTTGTCAATCTGACAGCCATTGTCCACTAAAAAAGTTTTCTGAAAATCTCAAAAAGAAAAAAACCATGGTTGACAAAAAGTCTGGAAAGAGCATGTAAAAGGAAAAATAAGTTATATAAGATTTTTTTGACAAATAGAACTAAGGAAAATGAAGACAAATATAAGAAACATAGAAACAGATGAACAACTATTTTGCGATATGAAAAGAAAAGTTTTTATGAAAAGCTGCTTCAGAAATCTAAAAATAATATAAAGGCTACCTGGAGTGTACTTAATAAGATAATAAAAAATCAGAATATTATATTTTTTCCAACATGTATTGTAAAAGAAGGTAATGTAGTGATTAAGAATATTGAGAGTATAGTCAACGAATTTAATGATTACTTTGTTAGTGTAGGTCCCAATTTGGCAAAAGAGATTTCTGTACCAGGAAGACATGATGACAAATTTTTAAATTTTACTTCTTATAAATGTAACTCAATGTTTCTTGGAGGAGTCTGTGAGAGTGATATTATAGATGTGGTGAGTAAATTTAAGAGTAAAAACTCCATGGATTGTGACAGCCTTGATATGTCATTAGTTAAAGAAGTTCTTCATAGTGTCCTTCAACCAATAAGTTGTATTTGTAACAAATCATTTCAAACCGGCATTTTTCCAGATACAATGAAAATTGCCAAAGTGATCCCATTATATAAAAATGGAGATAAACAGGATGTGTTAAATTATAGACCAGTATCTTTGCTGCCTACATTTTCAAAGATTCTTGAAAAACTATTTGAAAACAGACAAAATTATTTTCTTGAAAAATATGATTTATTGAATGACCATCAGTATGGGTTCAGAAGAAATCGCTCAACATCTCTAGCAGTGACTGAATTTATTGAAAATATTGCAACAATTGTGGATAAAAAACAGATTGGAATAGGTTTGTTCATTGATTTACGCAAAGCCTTCGATACGATAGATCATTCTTTACTGTTACAGAAATGTGAAAGATTTGGTTTAAGTGGTGTTGTACAACTTTGGTTAAATAGTTACTTGGAAAGAAGGTTCCAATATGTGAGTATTAATAATATGAAATCTAAACTTAGAAAAGTAACTTGTGGAGTTCCACAAGGATCGGTGTTGGGACCTAAGCTATTTTTACTTTATATAAATGATATTTGTACAGCTAGTGATATTTTAAAATATGTGATGTTTGCTGATGATACAAACTTATTTTGTTCTGGAGATAACATAAAGGAATTGCTGAAAACAGTGGAAATAGAATTGATGAAGTTAAATAGATGGTTTGTATTTAATAAACTATCACTGAATGAAAGTAAAACAACATTTATGTTGTTTGGAGGTATTAAGAGTAACATTGAAGTAAAATTGAATCTAAATAATGTTGAAATTGAAAGAGAAAATGAGACTAAATTTTTAGGAGTAATAATTGATGATAAACTTTGTTGGAA